TATACATTTTTCAGAGCAAGAGGAGTATACTACGTTAAAACAAAACCGAATCCACCATATTCTCTGGGACCACCTGATCACCTACGAAGGAAGGCATTACAGTATTTGAATAAAATCAGAAAAAACTGAGGATATTTATTCCGAAAAAGAATTTTTCACTCTGTTTGATGTAGATAATCTTGCCAGTGGATTTCTCGAAGAAATCTAGAACATCGAAGCGGAGAATGTCCAAATTCGAGATAAAAGTGAAACGGACTTCATCACGATTGAATGGCAATAACCTTCGATACAAAATTCAAATCTCAACCTCATTTTTTTGACAAACCTGCATGTTTTTTATTCTAGAACCAAAAATGTCCTGAATAATTCTGCATATAGGGGGAATGAGCACATACGTCAAAAATGGCCACTTTTCAGAAGGGGGTAAAAATGATTTATTCAAAAATAAAACAACATACTATCAATACCCTTTGATGAATNACACTGTAAGAGTCGAGAGACAATCATATTTTAAAGGAATTCCTACAGTTTTAATTATAAAAATTTATAAAAATAATTCAATATTATCCATGATAATAATTGTCATAATAAATTTTATTTGAGGGGCGTTTAATAAACGGTAGCTTCATCAGTCGAACTGATACATCAAACTATTCTACAATGTTTTTATATAACAGTATATAATTACAAAACATTATTAGATAAATGATTGATTCTGGTGAAACAGGTAGATTTTGAAAAAACAGATATTCCTAGAGAAACAGGTAACTATTTGATGTTGATTATTGACATTTTATGAAAACAAGTTTAATAATGGTGAGTAAATAACTTTTTATTGATTATTTAAAAAAAATATGTTTGATTTCTGGAGATTTCAGCAGGTTCAATTTTCTAAGTATATGTAATATGTCGTAGTCCATGTAGAAATCGTGGTTGTTCTCTGAAACTTGGTGAACATAGATGGAATTCTTTAGCTCAAAACTTATTTTATGTTTGGAGAGTCCCTTTTTGAAACTCTACAAGTAATTCCTATATGAACTTTTGTGCAGGATTCACATGTTAGTTTGTAGAGTCCTGAGTAGTTATCTTTGTACTTTTTTGACTTGTTCTGATGATTTGTTTATCTGATGATTTTCCTGTATATGTGAGTATTTTATAGGTGTTACTGTAATTTTGAATTAATTTCCCATTCAGTAAGCTGGATGGGAAAGTAATTAAGTGAATAGGGGTGCCAACAACAAGAAGTTATTCACTCACCTATCAAACTTGTTTTCATAAAATGTCAATAATCAATATATCCATAAATAACCTGTTTTCCTAGAAGTAATATTGTATTGTAATTGTTTTTTCAAAATCTAATTATTGAGAGAATTATTCATTTATCTAATTGAATATTGGCTTTGCAACAAACTCGAAGAGCCTCGTTCATCTGTATATTCGTGAATTGGGTCTTTTGTCGATCCCATAGATGGCGTTTTCCATAATTCAGTGTACTTTAACAGGAATGATAATACTTAGTAGATATTTGTCTCCCTTATTCCTGGAGATAAGAATATACCAATCCTCGACTTCGATATTTTAGTCCATTCATTAGTTAAGAGGTTATGTAATTTTTCACATACCGTTGTTATGGAAAAAGCATAACATTTTCTAGTCAATATGGAACTGCATTTGAATGTGTGTGTAAAGCGGATATAATTCTTTCTTAAAACGTCTCTTACAGGTTATTTTCGATAATGAACAATACCCTGTAATAACAACTACTATAAGCCAATAAAGCGATGCAGATGAGTTTTCTCTCGAATCTTCTCTGCAAGAAAGTAATGAGGGATAATATCAGATATAATTTCTATCAGCCTTCATCAACAACTCTTGAAGTTAAAATGAACTGTGAGAGAAATCGATGACTAACTTGCAGTTTCTGTTGAAGAATATAAATTATATTCATGTGATATTGTTATATGTTTCATGCAAGATTTTATTTTTGAATTGTGATGTAAAATATTTCTCCAATTCGTTTTTACGAATTCTTCATAGTATCAAGTACGGCGTCTTCATATCTAGTATAGAAGACGCTGCATAAACGCCTTACATTCTATCATTCAATAAATGTATAGAGAAACAAATGATTATGAAAAGAGAAATGAAAATTACTATGTATTTTACCACTTTCATTTGTAACTAACGTTACTGCAGTACTGAAAATATACAATAGA